CCCCACCTTTTTTTTTGGTCAGAATGATCCTATCTGCTTTCTGTTTTCTGGGATTTCTTCAAAATTTCTGAAACTCCTTTTTAAAAACTTATTTTCTGTCATTCCAGTGAGAGCATAGAGAGAAGGAAGATGGAATTACATACTCAGTTTTCCATCTTGAACTGGAAGTTCTCTTACTCCACTTTAAATATATGCTGCTTACAGTATTTTATATATCCTTGTATGTCACTTTACTCCTTTTTGGAACCAGGCAAATTCAGTGATAACAGTTTTGCAGGAATGAGTCTATACTGGTATATCATAAATCTCTTGGTGATTACTTTCCTTTCATTACTCTAACATCTGGAATGATCCCATGATGCCAGTGAAATATTGTACATTAAGTCATTGAACCTCTGTGTCATTCTCATTGGGAGTTGTTTATAGGAGCTTTTTTTTGAGCTCCTCCTTGCAGGATGTGACTTTATTGCCAAGAGGGGTTTATAACTCTTCATACATAGTTGTAGCACATGGAAAAATGCTGATTCCTACAAAGATAATTCAGGCCTAATATAGTCAAGCTAAAGGCAGAAAACTGTCGGGGTTTTGAACTGAGCTAGAATTTTGCAGAGCTTAATGAAGGGAAGCAGAATCTTCTGCCGGAATTAATCCACAAAGACTCAGTTCAGAGAGACAATACTTATAGGAAGTACAGAAGCAAAGATTTCAGAAGCAAAACCAGAACTTCTTGGCTCTAAACAGGTTTGTGGTACAAGAGCAACCCGGATACCCAGATGAGGAGCCAAACTGGCCTAGCACAGAAATTACTCCCTTGGCCACTTGGGAAAGGGTGGTTCTCTGTCTTTGGGGAATGTGGTTACATAGAAATGATGGACAGGATAGCTCCTACTTAACCGATAAGAATTAAGATTCTTGGTGCTTGGAGTGGGTAAAACAAGGTTAGCTACCACAGAGTCGACCCTGACTCATGATGACTCCATGCACGATGGAAGGAAACTCGGCCTGGTCCTGTGCCAACCTCATGATGGTGGTTGCGGATTGGACCACTGTGATTCATTGGCTGATTTTCAGAAGTAGATCACTAGATTGTTCTTCCTACAAACAAACAAACAAAAAAACCATTGCTGTTGAGTCGATTCCAGCTCATAACAACCCTAAAGAACAGATTAGAACTGCCCCATAAAGTTTCCAAGGAGCACCTGGTGGATTTGAACTGCCAACCTTTTGGTTAGCAGCGTAGTTCTTAACCACTATGCAACCAGGGCTTAACCTGGAATCTCCACTGAAACATGTTCAGCATCATAGCAACATGCAAGCCTCCAATGACAGACGAGCGTTGACTGAGCATGAGGTGCATTGGCTGGGAATTGAACCCGGGTATTCTGCATGGAATGCCTCACAAAACAAGGTGTAGGACTATAGACTTCTGCCTTTGGATATGCTTTATATAAAACTGCAAATTTAAAAATAGTTATCACCTGAATGCATAAGTTCTAAAATAAAGTCAATTAATATACAATTTAGCACTTCTGATTTTTGATTTTATAGCTAAAGTAAGTTTATAAATTCCATGCGGCTTGCCAGTGGGCAAGCTTACCAGTGGGCAAGCTTACCTTCTTGTGGTATGGAAGAGAGCACCACCCCTCATCCCCAATAGTATCCATTGTCCTCCTGCAGCAATTTTACTGCTCCTGGGTTATGGTGTGGTCGTATAAATAATCTTGTTTTTTAAGCTTTTAAGTCCTCTCACTCCTCAAAGTACCATTTTAGGGTTTAATGTTTTTGCTCTTTGCTGGGGAGTCAGCAAGAAAGAAGAGATGGTGGTTTTATAGCCAGGTTTGAAAATATTTCTTTCAGGCAAGTGGTTGGTTCGGCGGTTGCTTCCAGGTGGGTTCTGGATTTCAAGAGTACCCATGTTAGGGGCCAGCCCACACAGACGTTATTAGCTGTTGCCATTGGTCCAGTATTGTTCCTATCAGTAATCATGTGAGCCTGACTGGAAAACAGGAACAGTCACAGGGAAATGACCTTATTAGATAAGCAAGAAACTGTAGGTAACGGCAAA